ATACTTATGTTTTGTAGGTACAGTTAGTGAGCTGGAGGAGTGTTTGGACCATATGCAAATCGGTGCATCTCGTGTGCAGTATGACTCAGAGGCTGATGAAACCGGAAGCTATACTGCCAGATCCAGCTCTGTGACGGAGGAACCCGCGAGTGCTTTCCAAGAATACATCAGAGGCATGGTCAGTACACAGACACTTTCACACTTACCAATCTTAAACAGTTTTGAATTTTAAACTTAAATTTGTCCATTCAACAGACACGATCACACAGTGAGAGTGATATCCGACCTCGTCCAAAGTCATGTAAGTCCCATTTTCATGTCTAGTTTCAGTTCATGCCTGTTACTTTGACCCGTGGTTGTCCGTTTGCATGCATTTACAATCTGATTCTCTTCACAGTTATACGGCCAGTTTTTGATCATCCTCACACGAGGAACTTGAAGAAAACTGATCCAGTGGCAAAGTATGGCATACTTCTATATTAACATACAATCTTCATAAACTAAATAAATGATTCAAGACTCTGATCATTATGCGTTCTGAATGTGTTTGGATCCTTTATCAGGTTTTGTCAGTATAAGCAGGACTGGGAGATGTTTAAACCTCCAGGAGAGAAGAGCAGGAAGGAACTGCACTGGGCCATTAGGGTATCATTAATCATGTACTTGTTTTAGTAGTTGCTTTAAAAGCTGCATATATCCATATAGTTTGATTTATTTTATTAAAAAATATATATATTCTTTTGTTTTTATCCTCAGGAACAACTTATGTATCAGCCTCCACCAGTAAGTTACATACTTTTTTTTTATTTTTTAAGAATTGCCTAGATTCCCTTATTCTGAGTGCTTTTTCTTGTCTCTATAGCGGAGACCTCAGAAGACGTACATCCCTAACACTTATGTGGTTCCAACAGAGAAGAAGCGATCTGCGCTAAGATGGGAGATCCGACATGATTTAGCACATGGCATTATTCCAACAAAAATCTCTTATCCCTGACAGAGAATCTTCCACCTATGCCTTCTCTTTTATTTATGTCTAATGCTATTATTTATTCATGATATTAACATTTTTTACTTCATTGTACATGTGAAATGAGACCTCAAGATCCTTGTTTTTATGAAATAAACATTTTAATACTTTGAAGTCTGTGCTGTGTTCATGGCAGGTCACTGTATGAGAGTTTGAAGGGATACAGGGGAGTGTAACGCACAACGTGCCAAAGAAGCTTCTTTTCAAGAAATTTTACAGCCTCCAGTGAGAACCAGACGCTGTTTAGACCTGTAAAAGTCAAACAATATAATGTTTGTTTCACAACTCATCAATATTAAGATCATGAATGAGCTTTGATGCAATGGTTTCATTCCCTTATATTTGGTTAAAGGTGCTTTCACATTACAGCTTTTGGTGTGGTCAGTTTGTTTACCTGTGGCTGGAATGATATTCACTGTTTTCAGATCTTTAGTCGCCTTAAGAATGTTTTTAGGGAATTCATCACCTCTGAAATACATGCATGCAAAAAAGAAGAAGAATTTACTTAAGGACACAAATATGTATATCAGGTTGGCAATGACATATGCATCCACATATTGGGAACCGCTGGGCTACATCATGTGTCTTTCACCGGTGAGAAAACTTTAAAAGTACTACAATACCAGGAAGGAAGATCGGGTTGTTGATGTTTGTCTGCCATCCTCGCTCTGTCTGCACAGCGTGCGTGAACGTGCTGATGACAAATCCTGTCTGCGCGAACGGAGGTATGCTAATACATACGTTGACAGGCAGGTAGGAAAGCCAATTAAAACGTTCGGACCGAGCGTTTTGATTGGACGAACATTTCTTGGTCCTACGCCTTCCACAGAATATATAAATTCAGATAAATACATTTACACCACTTAACTTAATGATTGCTATCGGGATGTGAAGAGACTTTCAACCAGCATAACAAAAAAAAATTCTGAAGACAATCACCTATTGCACCTTTAACTAAAAACTATGAAAAATTATTTCCATTAATTGGAATAAAGCTGAAATATAAATTTAAAAATATAAATCTTAAGATGAAAAATTACAAATTAGATATGATATATGCTGTGGCATCTAACAGAAAAAAAAAATGCTTATTAAAAAATAAAAATATATTTTAATAGTACATAATACTATTATGTACTATTATGTACTGCAGCACATTCCAAACCAAGCAAAACTTTTATAGTGCACTTCCCCTCACCTGAGCCAGTTTGGCAATTTTCAGCCCTTGCACTCGCACCTTCATGGGCAACATGTAATAATAGCTGGTTGGTCCCAGTGGGCCATGAGCTACTCCTCCTGAACGAGAAAGAGGAGCATTTGTTTAGTCCTTTAGTGAGAGCAGTGATAGTTTCATACATCTGTGTGTTTAAGATGAAGCTCAAATCAACAGACTTTATTTGACCTCCTCTCCATAGTGGAGAACGAATGCTTCCATGCCGTGCTCGGCCGCTTCCTTTTTGTTTCCATAGTTTCCTGCCTCCACCGCTGACTTCAGCTCTTGATTTGACTTTTGCATGGCTCTACAGTAATCAAATTATGAATGAATGTCATATGCAATGATTCAATTAATATGACTGAAGTCTATAAAACATGACTGGGACAGTATCATAAAGGAACAGTTCACTCAACAATGAAAATTAGCAGAAAATTTACTCATCCTCAGGTTATCCAAGATGTAGAAGAGTTTGTTTGTTCATCGGAACAGATTTGGGGAAAGTTAGCATTACATCACTTGCTCACTAGTGGATCCTCTGCAGTGAATGGGTGCCGTCAGAATGAGAGTCCAAACAGCTGATAAAAACATCACAATAATCCACAAGTAATCCACACCACTCCAGTCCATCAGTTAACATCTTGTGAATCTAAAAGCTGCATGTCTGTAATAAACAAATCCATCATTAAAGCGTTTTAACTTTAAACCATCATTCTTGCCAAAACCCATAATTCAAAATAACGCTTATTCCAGTAAAAAAGTTCATCCCCTGTTGTCCTCTCACATTAAAATCCACCAACATATTTGTTTAGAACCGTTTTATTTTTTGCGTTTTGGGTGAACTATTCCTCTAATGAGCATTACAAGAGTAAAGTTAACACCAGAAAGCATCATGTACACCTCATAGTTACTTACTATTCGTTTGAAATTACGTTGCCAGACCTCTACATCATGAAGAATGTCCAGCCTATTAACAAAAACAACCATATATTCATTTGTTTGCAACTTAACTCCAGCCTAAAAATACTTCATAGAATTAAATGACAGGTACCTGACAGGTACTGAGAAGACATTAGGGTGTAGGTCAACCACACCAAGAGGTTCACTGTCACAGCTTCCCAAAGACTCAAGCCACATCTGGACAGGTGCCAGGTGAGCTGGGATAACAGCCCCACATCTGAAAAGCACTGGAAGATCAGAGCCCGACGGAGAAGCCCTCTCTACAGCAAGAGTTCACACATCTTTAGTTCACTGATACGTCATATCCTTTGACAATATTAACAAATAATGTAGGTTCTCCATCCGTCATTTGTTTGAATGGCTTTATAGATCACAATAGAAAGTTCAGAGTTTTATTCTGGCAGCAGTTTTGTAACTACGGTAGGCTGCAGATATAGAGTAATAATGCTGAGTAATACATTATATTTACTTATTAAATTAGAAAGCTTTGCTTACTTTGTCGCCCGACTCCAATGAGATTGGATGGAAGTCACAAATTAGATGTAAGTGCATTTTCTCCAGACAGATGAGATGAACTGGTTTGAGAAAATACATGGGTTAACTCCTCAATGTGTTCCTCCAGCATGATCACCAGTATCATATTCACACGCATCTATATTGAATGGTTATTACCCGCAATACAAAAACCAATGGGCCTACTTACCCTTTTAACAACCGTTCTTCCACATATCGCTAATGTAGCATGAAACATGATGAGGGCTAATTAAAATAAATAAGAGCACAGCGGTTACAATTTCAGCTTCTTACATGTTTGGTTTCCCTGTCAGCGAAACATGCTGTTGTACTGTTTGTGAAATGTCATGCTGTTCTGATGTTATATGTGTAAAAATATATAGAGATAAACAATTTTACATTATTGTACATTCGATGAAAATAAAGCATAAAAAGAGCTCATCTTTAAAATGCAAACTCCCCACACATAAAAAAAACATTATTCATAACATGTTTGTATTCATTCTTTTTTTTTTTTAATTATCATTAAATTTGTCATGTGTTAGTATTTACATATATAGAGAGAGGTACATTATTGTAACTGTAATATCCATCCCTCAAGTTTTAAAACCATTTCAAAATGACACTTATTAAATTGTTAAGAGACAAAAGAAAAAAAAAAGAGAAGCTAATACTAAAAATGTTAATACAGCTGTGTATCTAATTAAGTGTTCATAAAATACCATACCATGTATGGTAATTTTGGTAATGGAAACCCCACCTTGTTATTTGCACAATAAAAAAAAGTTGAACAATTCTAAGTAATGCTGGACACAGCAATTTTCAAAAATAAGTGGTTTTATTTGTATCTTACAACTACAGGTGCAGAAAAGTCTTTGCGGCTTATTAGTCAACAGACTCTTGTCTTCACAATAGGCACAGCCTACGACCTTCGTAACAAGGTGATTTGTGTGATTGCATAGTGCAGTTTAAAACTTAGAATTCACATCCCCAGGACAGTAAAAGACAAACAAATGCACCACACAAAAGATTTTTTAAACTCCATCAATAAAATATAAGAGAACTTGTGTTTGACATATCAATCAGTGCAATCAATTGTGTTGATATGCCATCTAATTTGACAAACAAATGTATAATTTGCATATTAAAATTTGAGAAGAAATTTACATATTATCTATAGAGTGGTGATGGTGCAACTCATGATTTAAACAAAACCCCAGGCAAAGTATTTCTAGTTCTTTGCCAAAACTGAAAAAAAAAAAACAGCTGATTTGTTCTAAATTAGAAATGTTTTTAATTGTGGCAAATGTGTTATTTTGGCAGCTGGAACATCAAAATCAAAATAAAATTTCAAGTATGATCTTAAGAATCCCAATTAGAATAGTCCAGAGGATTGATTCCTCTTCTTCCATCCCGTCCTCAGGGCCCTGAGAGTGTTGAGACTGTCCAGGAGTCTCATCTGAGGAATAAGAGTTTTTCTCAACTTCCTCTTCTGTATGTGCCGTCTGGTCGTAAAACACCCTCATCTCAAACTCACTCTCCATGTAGGATGGATGTCCGTAGATTCCAATTCCAACAGGCCTAACAAAATCCCCCGGGACGATCACCACATCCTGGCCGCAGGTGGTAGACTGAAGCTTGTAGGTATCAAAGTTTGGCCGCAGCGTCTTGTCAGAGACGTAGATATCCGCATCTCCCTTAAGGCTTTGCATGTACAGGATAATGCGTCCTTCGTGGTTGAGACGCAGGTAGCTGTAGTTTCCCGCCCCAATGTGGCCTTGCACGACATGAAGCAGGACCCATTCATCTGGCACAGAAGGCTCCACTGAATGCTGCAGAGTGCCCAGGGCCCGGGACAGGGCCGCCAACACCAACAAACCACCCCAGCACAGCACCATGGTCATAGCTGCCAGACCCCAGCTACATCTGTAACCTCCCTGCAATCACAAAAATAGATTATTTCAGTATCGTCGCGACCATAATATTCCAAAGAAATTGGATTTCGGCATTTGGATTGGATCAAATCTTGGTAATGGCTTGGAAAAAAAGGTGCTGAAATCTAATTAAACCTTCACTATCGTATAATGTTGCTCAAAACATTTTAGAAGTATTGAGAGACACAAAAAAAATCAGGATTATCCTGATTGCATCAGAAGGGTGGATTCATGGATGGAATAAAATGTAACAAAACTTTAAATTGGTTAACAAACGTTAGTATTAGCTATATGGTCTATATACACATTTCTATTTTGCACTAGATTTGTTTTTTTTTTATGTTGTGTTCCAGTCATTTTGACTCGGGAGAGGATCCCACCCCCCACCCCAAAAATGCTAGTTAATGTTATCACATTGAATTAAAACCTACTAACTTTACTCACACAGTGTATTACAATTTCTCCCACCCAAAATTTTTTTTAACAGTTTTTGGAACCGATTGATCGTAGGTCTCACTGATTATGCAGTAATGAGTTTATGAACCTTAGTTTTTGAGAGAGCATTGCCAAAATCATCCACAAATAATGTTTTCTTTCCTTCACTCAAAAACGGAGGTGCAAAAGCTCAGATCAATGAGGCCAGTTTTAAAAATAAGTACAAAACCTGTGCTAATCGAATGAAAAGAAGTTGACAAAAAGACTGAACCCAAGATTATGGATTATGGAGATGCAGCAGTGAATCTCAACCTTTTGGCGAACCGGACCCCAGTCCAAATCAGAACCTTCCTCAAGGACCCCCAGAACAAAATGAACTAATCTATGTATCATTTGTGTCTTTGTGAGGACCAAATGCAGTCAAGTATAATTCAAGTTAGCTGACTTGTCCAGTATTTTGCCATATCATCAGCTATATTGGATTTTTCTTTCATGGGAACATGTCAAAATATACAAAATTTATGCAAAAATGCATACTTTATACGGACCCCCTGGCCTTACGTCAAGGACCACTAGGGGTCCACGGACCCCTGGTTGAGAAACACTGACATACAGCATAATGAGATGTTTACATGGTAAAGGATTTTCAGCGCAGTATAAGGGTTAACCGTTTACAGTTCTAAGAAGCCTAATTTTCTTTAAAAGAACCTGAAAATGAAAACCACAAAGTGACCCTGTGTTTATTATTCTACCGCTTGCTGTTTATATACATACCTACATCTACAATTATAGCACTGGTAATCCGGATTTGGTCATTTGGAAAAGTTTATTATCTGGATCAGGTCTTTGCTTTAAAAAAACCCAGCAGAAAAATAAAATAGATTACCTGTTCCTGAACAGCAAATCATTGAATTTCCAAAACCAGATTACTCTTATTCAGATTTTTCAACAACTGGGACCTGGACCTGATATGAGACTGATATGAGATTTAATGTGTTACTTAATGTTTCTTTATATTATCTTGTTAAATTATCTGGAGTCCTATTTGTTCCTACACTATTTTTCCCCCCAGTAACGTTACTTGGAGTGCTGTCTTCTGTGACATTATGGCCAGGCATTCTGAATCTAAACCTTACATAACTATAAAACGACACCATTTGACACAAGTCATATATCTGACAGCAGGCTGTTAAAAATATCTCTGTCTCAGCCACACACACACACACACACACACACACACAGCCAAAGGCCATGGTCACGTACTGTCAGTCCAGCCAGGGAAACCGGTTCTTTACATACTTTAACCGAACAGCGCATTAAGACTTCTTCGCAGTCCTAAAAGTAGATCGTCCCAAGAAAATACAGCTTTTGTTGCATAAGCAAACAGTCGAAAGTGAAAGTTTAAATTTGACGTTCAAATGTGTATTTGAATATAACAGCGCTGTTCAAAACAGGCAGACTTGGCAGCTAGCTAGTTGACTAATTTCTGAAATATAGGATACCCTACACAATTATTTGCACAGTGCGATGTACTATAACACACTCCGTTTCTAAATTAAAATGACATTTTATTCCTGAAGCTTGCACGAAAGAATAAGTTAGCTATTTAGCTAGCTGGCTAACAGACCAGTCATTTTTTATGACACTGAAACAAAATAACTATTCGTAATTAACGCAGGTCCTTTGATATGTTGACAAATATGAATTATTTTGAGTTACCGGTGCATTGTCAAAAATACTCCATGGGAAAGGAGAGTTGGCGTCGTTATGTTTTGAATGAGCTGTTACAGGTGTTGAGTTGACTACTTGACGCTCTGGGACCTGATGGCATTATAACGCGCATGTGCGCCCTCTGTCGGTCAGGAGGACAGCAGCGGACCGAGCAGATCACCGCATGCGATACAAATGTCAATGTAGTGAAATTGTTTATGATGTTTCAGAAAAATTACAACAACAACAACAAAAATCAGAATTACTGTAATAATCTTATTTTCTGTATTATTTTGTTTATTACTTGTTTTTATTATTGTCATAACATTTCTCTCTCTTTTGTTTCATGACCCTGGGGCAGATCTTGGGCTTTGTTTGTTTCTAGTTTTATTTATCCTTTGCTATGATTTTTGTCTCTTTCTTGTTGTTTTGTTGGATTTTCCTTTCCTTTCCTTTTTCTCACACACAGAGACTGATATGAGATTTAATGTGTTACTTAATGTTTCTTTATATTATCTTGTTAAATTATCTGGAGTCCTATTTGTTCCTACACTATTTTTCCCCCCAGTAACGTTACTTGGAGTGCTGTCTTCTGTGACATTATGGCCAGGCATTCTGAATCTAAACCTTACATAACTATAAAACGACACCATTTGACACAAGTCATATATCTGACAGCAGGCTGTTAAAAATATCTCTGTCTCAGCCACACACACACACACACACACACACACACACAGCCAAAGGCCATGGTCACGTACTGTCAGTCCAGCCAGGGAAACCGGTTCTTTACATACTTTAACCGAACAGCGCATTAAGACTTCTTCGCAGTCCTAAAAGTAGATCGTCCCAAGAAAATACAGCTTTTGTTGCATAAGCAAACAGTCGAAAGTGAAAGTTTAAATTTGACGTTCAAATGTGTATTTGAATATAACAGCGCTGTTCAAAACAGGCAGACTTGGCAGCTAGCTAGTTGACTAATTTCTGAAATATAGGATACCCTACACAATTATTTGCACAGTGCGATGTACTATAACACACTCCGTTTCTAAATTAAAATGACATTTTATTCCTGAAGCTTGCACGAAAGAATAAGTTAGCTATTTAGCTAGCTGGCTAACAGACCAGTCATTTTTTATGACACTGAAACAAAATAACTATTCGTAATTAACGCAGGTCCTTTGATATGTTGACAAATATGAATTATTTTGAGTTACCGGTGCATTGTCAAAAATACTCCATGGGAAAGGAGAGTTGGCGTCGTTATGTTTTGAATGAGCTGTTACAGGTGTTGAGTTGACTACTTGACGCTCTGGGACCTGATGGCATTATAACGCGCATGTGCGCCCTCTGTCGGTCAGGAGGACAGCAGCGGACCGAGCAGATCACCGCATGCGATACAAATGTCAATGTAGTGAAATTGTTTATGATGTTTCAGAAAAATTACATATATATATATATATAGGGTGATCAAAAGGGTGGTCAGATGATGAGTTTTATTTAGCTTAAAGGCATATCTGGCTGTTTTCAGTGCATAAACATAATCAGAGCTTGGATCTTATACTCTCTGCTACTTGTCATCCTCTTTAGTTTGACTTGCTGTTGTCATAACGTTGAACTTTCGCTCATCAACTATAGCTCTCACAAGCTGAAGATGTTTCCGAATCTGGAGGGGAAAAAAAAAAAAAAAAAAGTTCTTCACCATCAGTTGCATTTTATCACGCATTGCCGTGTGGTGACTTTTTATAACTTTACTGTACCATGTTTCATTTTAAGCACCATATAAACAACAAATACTACTTTATTCAAGGTTGCCAGAAGTATTTTTCATTATTTACCAGTTCCAGCTGCTCGTAGGGGTCCTCAGTATCCACAGAGGCTCTCCAGTAAGGTGCGATCATTTGATAAATTGAACAAATCCCAACCTTTATCTGAGCATACTGGAGCTCCTCTCTTTTTGCAGTGGAACGCAAGTCCTCCCGTTTAATTTCCTGTAAAACACATGAATAGTCTGTAATCTTGGACGACAGAACTGTACAGAAGACAGTGATGCCACAGTGACATCTGTGTCTTTTGTGTGTGTATGCTTTTACCCATTTGCATGTTTCTGAGCGTATGTTGTCTAGCTCTCTCTGTTGCTGCTGCAGTTGGTTGGTATAGTGCAGGACAAGAGTTCGCTGTTCCTTTATGTCCTTCATCAGTTCCAGCTTTTTGCGCTCTGCCTCTTTCTCAACATCAGCTTGTCTTTCTAGAATTTCCTTTCTGATAGACTGCGTGCCGCCACAGCCTCGACCAGTGTTCTCAAAATCAAATGTCATTAAAAAGAAGTAAGCAAGAGAAAAAGTGTAACATTACTATACAGTATATTTTGAATATTAAAACAGGTGGAACCTGTATAATGTTTCAAGAAATGCACCAATTTTGCCTTCAAGCATTAAATTTGACTCAATATCTGTATGCAGATTTTTTCTTGTTACCCCAACTGTCTCATCATTCAAAAAACTGAAAATCAAACCACAATAGAATAAGACCGATCCAAAGTCCAAAGTCTCACTCTTCAGCCGAATGAGGCAGGTGAGTCCAGGTACACAGCCTGATTGTCTGATAGTTTCAGGATCTCTCCCCTTTCAGACACAATAGAAGACCTACGAATATGATACCTTTCTGGGCATCTTTGCAGTGCTCTCCTGGTGCCGTTTGGCCAGTAGCTCTTTTCGTGTCAGTAGGGCTTTATGCTGTGCCTTTAGTTTCTTAATATTGTCTTCCTTCTCTTTAATTTTAGCTTCCTCTTCGTTTGTTTATTCTATGGCATGTAACCGTCTTGCCTCATTTTCCTTAAAGGAGAGAAAGACAAAAAAAGGGGGGTTACAGATGATATTAAAGTCAGTTTACACATTAGGCTATACATTCATATTCATGAAGTTGTTTCAGAATGTTTGCCTTACTTGCAGTAAGTAAGTTTCTCCTCTTCCTTTTTCACCTTTTCCTCTCTTTCTCTCAAGCGCTCCCGCCTCATCTGCAACTCCTGACAACAGCACATGTAAAACACTACACTCATTTAATCTGGAACAGCTGAAATGTAGTTAGCAGTTAAAGGGGTCATATGATGCTTTTTTAAAGATCATTATTTTGTGTATTTGGTGTAACATAATATGCTGACATGCTTTAATGTTCAAAAAACACATTATTTTTCAAATACTGTACATTATTGTAGGTCCTCTATGCCCCGCCTCTCTCAAACGCTTCGTTTTCTACAAAGTCCCTCCTTCCGACAAGCGCAGTCTGCTCTGATTGGCCAGCTGACCCAGTGCATTGTGATTGGCCGAACACTGCAAGCACTCGTCGGAAATGTAACGCCCCTTACCATAATCAAGCTTCATCTTTCAAAATAAATGTAAAGACAGCCCAAAAGGGGAGCAGAGTCGCGTGACAGACACACACGATGTGCAAAACTCCGCATTTGAACAGTCAATAGCAAATACCCTGAAAGATTCAACAATCTCTGAGTAAATGCAGATCACTCTGAACCATCTCCATCCGACCAAACAAATCTTAGACTATAGCCTATTCTACTTCAACGACGGCACATTAATGCTTCGAGCAAAAACACGGTTTGAGGTGTAAGAAGTTATTTACGATGAGAGCTGATTTTAAAAAACCGACCGATAGTATTCCTCCCGATTGAAATTCATCTTTTCAGCTCCGCACACCGTGGACAAACTTTCTGCACCTGTTTTAAAATGTTTAAAAAAATGACCGTTCCGTGGTGTTTAAGATCAATTTAGCTGGTGTTGCTGAGTGAATAATTTTATTTTATATTAAAGCATTATTATTTAAACCAATGTAATACTAATAACTTTAATAATTATTTTTATCATTTATATTAGGCTATAGTAAATATATTAAAACACATATATTACAAAAAAATTATGGCGCGTGGTTCAGTAGCCCATAGGCTCATCTCTATCAAATGTACGCTATGATATAGGCTGGCCATCAGGTATTTTTATAAACAAGAGTGTTATAGATCGTGCCAACATGCATTCTGGTGTCTGCAATATATATATCGTTAGCGTTATTTGATAAATATCGTTATTTGATCAATAATAACAACGTGAGGACATGGAAAGAGACTTGTTTATGATGCATAATGGTCTTAAGATAGGTTCATTTCAAATAGTGTTTGAAAATAAGCTGTATTTTGACTTTTTGCATTTTTTAATGCATGTTGTCTTTATGCATAGGTGTATTTGATGTGTGTGTGTGTGTGTGTGTCTAGTCAGAGCTGGATGAAATGACATGCTTGTAAAACAAGGCAGTTCTGGACCTGTGGAGTGACGGGAGATATATATACAATGCCTTTAGCATGTTTGAGTAAAAATGAGTAAATAAAAAACCACTCCAAACCACACACACACACACACACACACACACACATACACACACACACACACACATACACGCTTCTATCTAAATGCCAAACTGAAGTTCAGCCTGAGCAGCATAGCGGGACTCAGACACTGTGTATTATTCTCGAAGGGCTTATCTTAACAAAATATAGAAACCGCAACAACAAAAAGAACACAAAATACAGTCCTTGTGAGCCTAAGTTAAGTGATTCAGTGTTTACTTGTATTGACCCATGATGTGCTGTAGACGCAGAATTAACTCGAGACACTCTCTATTACTCTCACAAATTAATTTTGGGGGGCTTCATCTCATAAGTGGCCTTCGAGATATTTCACACACAAACACTTTCTTATAGCCCATGGTAAATAACATAACTGTGGCTTTCATTAATGAATTGTGAGGTAATTCTATTATTGTAAACAGTAAATTATTATGTTCGGCTATCCTGTTTTACACGTGTAATTGAGATACTTCACAAGCACACATATAATACAAAAAATTTAATAATCAAGCCTGTAGAAAATACAAAGGTATAGAAAATAGATATAAAGATTAAAAATAAAGATTAAATAAAAAGTAAAGATTCATTCATTAACCATTAAGATAAATTGAACTAAATAATAGCCAAATTTATTAAAATAAATGAGAACAGCTCCAAATGAAAGGTGTCTGGATGAAGCAGCTATTAGATGTGGTGAGAAAAGTAGCCTACTTTGTGATTTTG